CAGTTTTTTCTTAAAATTGGGAAAACTTGACAATGAAGTGATTGTAACAGGAAGGGAATTCCAGATTTAATATTTAACAAAATGTAAAAACCGATAAACCTTATCCCTGTGCCAAAGCATGAATGAATAATACAAAAAAAGTAGTTATTAGTATCAAGCTATAAAGTATCGTTTGTAAATCGGCCCTTAAAAAGAGGTTACTGAAAGAAAACGACGGCTGCAACGCAAGACTCATAAAACAAACAAAACACCAACAAACAAGTTAAAACCGAGGTACCTCATTCTTGCTACAAAGTATGAACCCTATTTGTCCACTAGGGTAGGTAGGTATAGTTGTGTATCCATAACTGACTATAGGAAATAACCTTCTACAAAACTCTAAGACTGACTTGATCAGTGGTATGTGAAGCCAAATACATTCACCTATGGAATTAAAATACAGACAGCACATAATTGACGTTAACGTTTTCAGCGTCAATGAAAGTCAATGAACTTAACAGACGATTCACTCTGGTTGGACTCTCCTCAAGGAAGCAGTTGTGTCTGAAGAGTAGCTACACCAACTAATGTATGCGTTTTGAGATTACAATATTTGAAGAGCGCAAGATAAAGAATCAGATACTCTTCATTCTTTACTCTTTACATGGATTCGACTGCATTGTGCATGACAAAATCTGCCCGAATTTAGATATTAATTAAGTTATGACAACAGATTCAAAATTTATATTTGTTATGAGGACTAGCATGATGATACCTTACAACAGTAATTTTTTGGACCCTGTTGAGTAATAGCAATAACCTCTATTTGGTCAATGGGAGCAAACATATAAAATTTTTGGTGCACACAAAAATGAGACATTTACCTTGACAACACAATAAACCATCAGGTTTTAATGCTTTTTTCATGAGTTCATAATATGATTCCTTAAATAAAGACTCGGCTGGACCTAGAGGGAAAATAAATAATACATAGCATAACATGAGTTACACCTTACTTGTTTGTACAGAAAAGAACCATTGTATACAAGGTAGTCTGTATACATGTACAATTTGTTAATGTAACACTGTAAACAATAACAACCACAATAAGAAAATAATGATCAAGTTTGCTAGACAGACTTTGCTAAAATTTTTGGTGTAAACATTTATGTATGGATGGTTGAGTATAGAATGCTTTTTTTGTCTGTGCAAGCAATTGGTTTCAAGGGTTACATTAATTTTGATATGTTTTAAATAACTATTAACTGCACCTTTAATTCAAATGCAAATGAAAAACTCTGCTCAAATAAGACATGTTGCTACAGTCAATCATCTTAGCAGGCTTTCAAGGAAACAGATGTTCACTTCAACAGATTCAAAAGTCACGTGTGTGGGTTGTGTCAATAAGCTAATATGTTGTTTGTGTTGTTTTAAGGTTTATTGACTGGTGATCATAATGTAATTATATTTATAAAAACAATCATGAGTTAGGTCTTCAGAAGTTCTGAGTTCATGCATTATTTAACAAATAAAGAAGCCTAAGCCATGTACTACACTGTGATAAAACACAACGGGCATTTGAGAACACAAGGGAGTGATATAGAAGTACATGTAATGTGGCACAAAAACAATAAAACATGCTAAACCCATCAGAGCGTGCACAGGGTCCTATTTATATTATGATGAAAGATAAAAGTAATTTACAGCCTTTCATTGTCAGTCTACAGTACACCTACCTACAGGATCTGAAGAGTCTGTTATGATTACATCAAATTCATTTTCATGCTTCTTCATATAATCAAATCCATCTCCAATACACTGAGTGAGCTTGGGTGAACTAAAACCTTTAGCCATGTTTGGTAAATATTTTTTACACAATTCAATTACCTCCTGTTGTGACAAAAAATAAGTGCATTATTATCAACAAAATAACAAAAATATATAGTTGGTATAATTTATTAATATTACTTTTATTTACTGCCAGTGTGAGCTGTGTCAATTTTGTGTAGTTATATAATACTAGCCAGGCCGGACTTGTATAATATTTTTAAATGACTGATGACTTGTATATTGCACATGTGTTTTCTATGTGTCTTCAGACAGAATCTGGACCACACCACACACCCTCCTTCTGGACCCCCTTCTGGACCCCTCAATTTTTCTGTGAAAATAAAGAAACTAGTAAATTACAGCTATAAACGCAATCTTCATGCATGCTACCACTGCTTCTTCTTGATGCAGCATTAAGCTTGAAAGAAGGTGTTCCACTTTACTCAACACATTCCCAAGGTTTTGTTTAGCATTTCCAAGGGAAAACAGAAACTTTTTGGCAGCTACTTGGGCAATTTCTGCAAGTAGAATGGACTCCACCCCTTTTCTTTTCCACCATCCTGGTTTTTCTGCTGACCAGTACCAGAAAGGCATTGCTTGACATGAGTCAGAACAAGACACCCATGGACACATGAGAAGGGGGATGGTGTGTTGAGAGTTGAGAGTTTGAGAGTTGAGAAAGAACTCACAAAAGCCGTGGAAACACTCACCTAACAGTTTGTGTTCCCACAGCATTTCTCGCTTCCCCCAAACTTCCATTCATGTTTCTATACTCCAAAAGCAACACGGGAAACGTTTTCTTTTTCTTAATTTCAACATAGTAATAGGTCATATTTGTACTCTCGGTGTTAGACTAGAACCAGGGGAGTCTTTTCAAATGCAAATGGAATTTATTCCCCCGCATGAGCCTCCATTGCAAGCTAGCTAGTTCTAGTCCAGTACCGAGAATACAAATACATGTATGGCCTATTATCATACCTTCCTCATCATTACTTAACTTTGTGCACTAACATCTATTAAGCAATTATTATATAACCCCTACTTACCTCATCTATCTCACACTGGACTATAGATTCCACTGCAGGATGCTTTGAGACTTCCCGTATAACTCCTCCATCACCACCACCAATGATAAGAACCTACAATGAACAAAATTTTATTAATATTAAAAATGTGTTTCAATTTTTAAACTTATTTAATACTTTATTGTGCAACAAATATCAGCAAGGTGAGCATGAGGGAGGAACCAGTCTCAGATGATCTAGTCTAAGTCTACCACAAGAATTAAGTCCAAAAATCAAAAGTCAAACTTCTGCTAACAGATGCATCTCTTGCAATGTTAGATTATAGAGCCATTCTAATCCCCAAGTGGACAAATGACAGTCCCAATGATATCCACCACTTACAAGAGGACTGACAGTACAAATACATGTACAGTTGTACATCATCTCTCTCTGTGCCAGTATTAAATTTTTGTAAATAATTCACACTCATCATGTTCAGAATACTGAACATTATACTGTGAAATTGCAATATAAAGTTAATTTAATAGACTTAATTTATCAATAGCTGTTTTGAGAAAGGTTGTCCTAGCCTGTAGTTACTAGGCCTCTAGTAGTCAGTCTAAGCATTTAAGTATAATGGAAACAAGACCAAAAGGTATTTAAAGGAAACACTATAAAGGGACAGATCAAACATGGTATTGAGGATGACTTTGTCCACCACTAAGAGACACGATGATTGAGTTTTCAATCAAGGATTGCTGAGTTACCACCTAATAATTCCTCTTGCAATGTTGCAAATATGCATATCATACCTCTTTGGAGGACTACCCTTCTCAACACTGTTGTGTATTTTGATCATGATCATATGGTGTTGGACTACGTGACTGTACAAATAATGGAGTACATGTATCAGACTGTCATGAAGGTCCATAACCCAAAATACCTTTTTAGGACATGGATGTGAATTTAGAGGAAGGAATGTTATCATCTCTTGATAGGAGAACTCATCTCTGTCAGTGCATTGTATAACACCATCCAAAACAAGAACTTTCCCATGATGTTTACTGGTAAAAAAATGCAAAGAATAAGACAACATTATCTGCCTGCATACATGTGGCCTCTTTCTCACAAAGGGAAGTACTAGATGAAGTCTGTGGCAGTCCAGTGGCCCATACAGGCAGAGCTTATCCCAGTGTTTCTGTAGCATTAAGCATTAACTACTACATTGTATACATGAAGCGCAGGTATTTCTACTCCCTCCTGGATTAGATGCTAGTCGATCGTAGCATTACCCCCAGCATTAAGTTTGCCAGAACCAATGCATAACCAATGACCCAGCCAGGACTCAAATCTGGGCAGCTCAACCCAGGGACCAGCACCCAGCACGGTCCAGGGCGTTAAATTTCCACAAAACAACTATAAAAGGGATAATTTATATGAAAACAACAGAATGCCATTAGATTATTTTCCAGCCAGTTGATGAAGCCAATAACTTATGAGCTACATGTAGGGATTACAAAGTGTATACAAAACCAAAACATATCAGTTAGACAGATCATCAAATCGACCAATCATAACAGGTACCTTTTAAACACTAGTATATCCTGATGTTTTGATTTCCCTTCAAATAAAATTTCATCCACTTCAAGAGACAGAGCTTGACCAGGCCACTGGTCATTTACCTCTGAAAACCAGCCATTCTGTATTCTGTTCATTGTATGGTCTAATCTTGTATGAGAATGTAAAAAAAATAATAAATAAATGAATATCATTATTATTTTTCAAACGCTTCTACTGTATAAATACAAGAAACCTACAATTACTAACAATTGTTGGGTTGAATTGTAATTGGCTGCAGGTAGTGAGCAAAATTTGTATTTCATACATGTACATTGTATAATCTCAATTTCTGAGGGTGCAACACACGTTTGGCAGGATGCAGGAGGAGGGTAAAAATGGAGTTGAGATGCAAAATGCAGGATGACAGAAATATTAATGGCAGAATGCAGGATAAAAATATTTTCATCTGCAGCTCCTGTCATTATTTTAAATTTTTACATTAGCTTGTGAACTGCTTTTAATTACTCAACATAACAGCTAGTTTACCAACTGGTGAAAACACCTATTGGTTATGCAAGTTGGTAAACAAAATACCTTCAGGGGTTAATGGAATGTTAAGCAAGACAAATTGTATCATGAAAACACTGAGCCATATACAGATGAAATATCAAGATCAATCTTGACATTTCAAAAATAGACAATCTTTACTTTGCTCTACATGAACATCCCGATTTCATTACAAAACAAAATTGTGCAAATCCTGCATATTAAAGCACAATAATTAAGAACAACAACTATTTTTACTATTTTCTTCTTGAAGCTGGCTATCGTACCTTGATTGTCGTGCTTGCTGCACAAAATTCACTCACAACACTAGCCACGAAATTGGTGTGCACTCAAACTCTCAACTGTGAAGTAGAAAGCTTTTATTTCACATTTTTACAAATTTCTTTAATTTATTATTTTTGGGGTCTGAAAGCCAACATGGTCTCGTCTGAAATATTAAGGCATCAATGATCTGATAATTTCTTTTTTCAGGTCATTAGAGTTTCCATTCCTTCTAGCCAGCTTTAAAAAGGCCATCAATTTTAACATGAATTAATGATCATTTAATTAGTTCATTGTGCTCTTTCATTCCTATAGCAGTCAAAACAAAACAAAAGATTTCAAAAGAGGTTGTATAATCCAAAAAAACCCTTCCATTCAAGTCTAAGCTTATTTAAGGAAAACTGAAGGTTTTCATGTGAATTAAGCTTAACTTAAGCTAATAATTCACAGTTCCCTAATGCAGTCGACCGGTGCACCGTAATGATCTTCACAAGGACGTAAGCTTAAAATCAACGAAATAATTACCCACAAATCGCTGAAAATTAGCACTTAAACGACCGTCGATATCCGAAGGCTGGTGTTAATAAAGGTATTAACACATACCTCATGTATTCCTGGTTAATTTATCTCGTCGAAAGCAGTCGAAGAAGAAGCAAATTTTCACGAATATTGTTCTTCATGCAGAACCCACGTGTTGTTAGTGTCGGTTTTTTCCCTACCCTTCCCTAGTTAGAAGTACACGACTTTCTCCTCTTTTTACACATATCGTTTGTCTCGCCCACATTGCAGAATAATGTTAATATTTTTGTCAATTTTTTTCACAAAATTGTTACAAATTAGCAGTTTTCAATGTAGAAAATATTATTAGCCGACCAAACAAGAAAGTTATTTTTACAAGTACAGCACCCTACACCGGTGAAAAAACAAAAAGCCGTGACTTTGCAAAGGACTGGAACTAGTCCAAGGGAATTTCAAAGATGGCGGAAGCTTCAAGTTCCACGAGTCACTCGAACTCTTCAAATCCTATTGTATTCTTTGATATAGCCATAGGAGGACAGGTGAAAACAAGTTTTCTTAGTTTCATCTGATAAAAGTCAAACTGAAGGTCCTCTTTATGCATCGTACCACTTTTTCTTTACATGTGCAGGACGTAGGGAGAATGAAAATGGAATTATTCGCCGATGTTGTGCCGAAAACAGCAGAGAACATCAGGTGAGCATTTCTCCCTTCGTTGAGTTTGGTTCCTAGTTGATGTCTGCGTAGTTGGATCACAAATCCGGTAATGTAAAGGGTTGATTGAGGCGGTCGTCAGAGATTTGAAGGCAAAGGGGGGTGGGGTGGGGGGTGGAAGTGTCTGATCGGTTGAACATCGACCTCAGTTTTTTCAAAAGATGTAAAATTCTCCGCGTTTCAGTAGATTGCGGGAAAATTGTCTGTTCATCAACCTTTTCAATGTACCCCCTTTTATTCTGACTAGATTGGAAGCAGGTTAACAAAACGTATCTCCATACAGGGTGGGGGAGGGGGGTGTAGAGCAATCTTTGCCAACTGTACAATACGAAGGAATTTTTTCATGAATTTTCAGAAATGTCAATATTTTTTGTTCTAATTGATATTTTTCTTCTCCTTTTTAATATCCAGACAACTCTGCACTGGAGAGTACAGGTGACTTGTGACTGCTGCTTTATTTTGTTGGTCCTTTGTTAAAACATGACCAGGCTACATCCATGTACAGTAGCTTGGAAAGGTTGTGATGTAACTGAAAACAAAACTGTACAAACAATATGACTATTTGACTATTAACCCTACTAAAGTGGCTACTGTTTTTAAACTTTCTCCACTCTATTTGAAGTGGAGAAAGAGAAAGGTTTCGACTAGAGTTTCAAATTTTGATGTATCTCCTTAGGAAATAATAGTCACCCCATGAGAATTTATACCACCATGCACCTGTTTTGAAGGAGAGTATCTTTTAAAAAAATAAGTAAGCATTTACAATCCTCTTGATTAATATTTATTTATTTAGCATTTCATTTAGTTTAAATCCAATAGATAATGAGTAGCCTAGTGAGTACTGGGCTATGTGTTAACAAAATGGCAGCACTTCAGCTTCTTTAAATGTTTTCAAAGTGTCTGTGAAGAAGATCTAGATAAAGTTTTGAATGACTAGGACATGCAGATTTATACCATAAAGCAATACTTCGCTCTTGATTTCTACATGTTTGTGTGATAGTTTATTCAGGCTAGGCCCCTTTTAACTATCATGTGAGTATAGTAATATTGTACAAATATAACTTTTGAGCATTGACCAAACTGCAACAGCTGCAGCTTACTTTTAGTTATTATTAAACTTCCTTAGAAAAGATGGAATACCTCAAGGATACAAGGGGGCTAATTTTCATAGGTTAGTTACTATGTTTGACCATGTTTGATTTATAGATTGAAGTCTACATTTACACTTAGATGTACTGTCATATTATATGTAATGCTAACATAATATTAGGGGAAAAAACTGCATGGTTAATACATTTTAAATGATCTTACAAAATACACTAGACATGTTGACAAATAAGTATAAATTACTAAACAGTGACAAGAACCAGTTAAAATTTACTACTGGCTTGTAATTGTGCTCCTTAACTTTGTACATTGCACATGTATATTAGAACAACCAATTTTGATACTTATCAGCTTTTTTTTTCTTTCTTTTTGACTTTTTTTATTTGTAGAGTAATAAAAGATTTCATGATCCAAGGAGGGGATTTTGTTAAAGTAAGTTTTAAAAGTTGTTTGGAGGACACATCAGTTCAGTTTTATGTTTACATTTTATATACAGTCATGTGAATATATTTTCTTGACTACATTTCTAAGAATGTAGCTTACCAGGAGGCTTTTACTCTTGACTACATGTATTAACAACTAGCCACATGTTACATACTGTATAACTTAATTATGAATCTAAGGGTATTGTTTCATTACAGAGGTAAACAAATAGTTATATAATTGTTATTAAGATTACAATTTGTTATCTAAGGATTCTAGCAGTTGTTATCTTTTCAATAAACTTTGTTACAAATTTTGTAACTTAACAGTAATATTGTATTCAGTAATATTGTAGTATTGTAATATTGTATATAGTATTTCTATTTTAACAAAGAAACAGGAACACATACAAAACAACAGCACATCATAAACACAGTGCAGATAGATTGTACTTCAATTACAGTCACCTTCAAGTACTTGTTTTGTAAACCACATCTGCATGAAAAGATGTCAAAATGCTGTAGAGAGGATAAAAATGTTTGCATCAACAGTAGCACCTAGGATTATGAGTGCCTGGATACAGGTCAGGCTGATCAACATTTGCATTAACTGTGAGTTTCAAATCACTTCAATCAAAAATTAGACAGAGAAGCAGTGGATAAGCACTTTGTAACTGTAACACTACATATAATTTCCTGTCCAAGAGACTGTGGAATGGCATGAGTGACTCTTTGCAAATGTGACATTGCTTACATGTATTATTTGTGCTTCCTTAGGGTGATGGTACAGGAGTTGCCAGCATATATGGAGATGTGGCCTTCCCAGATGAAAATTTTAAACAAAAACATGATGGACCAGGCCTTCTGTCTATGGTGGGTATGCTGTATGTCACAGAGGGGCTAATGGTGATACATGTATACATGTAATTTACACATCAATTTACTGATTAGTCAGGGTGAGTGAAAGGCAAGCTTCCTTTTAGTTACTCCTGACCATCTCTACGGTTTGTATTGTACACTTACAATATATACATGTAAGTGTGGTGCATGGCGGTCATACAACACACGTACATGTACATCCATGTACCTTCCTGGGAAGAGGTGATGACCAGCTGGTAGCTACGTGAAAGCATGTGCATGACCAAGTATGTATTAATTCATGTGCATGGACCATGTTCTACATTGTGTGTACATTGGGTTTATTGTGTAGTTCTAGAAAATATCTGTACCCACCCCAAGGAAGATTAATGGAAATTCCAAGGGGGAGGGGGGTTTCCAAAGCCCATTTTTTTAAAGGAAAGTATGACACTAAAATGGAATTTCCAGAGGGGTGGGGCCAGTTCAAGCTACAAAACCGTCTGTGGGAGGGGTATGGATATTTTTGGAACAACACATTGTAAGTTATGATTCTGAAGGCATGACTATTCCTATTGATTAAAGTTAGGAAACTTTGGCCCCCAAATTATTGTATTCTTAGCACTTGAACAAATTGCACTTTCAAACTTCATGACAAGTTTCATTAAGTCAAAAACACCTTAAGTTTGTACAACTGATGTTATCAATAGAAAATAGACTTGTCTTTCAAAAAGCAAAATGGCTAACCCTAACCCTAACCCTTTTTATATATATTATCTGAGTTTTCATTGTATTTTAACACATATAAAAGCTTATAATAAATTACATACATGTACATGTAAGTCATGTGAACGACTGGAAGCTGTTTTTCAATAAAAGATCTTAATAGCCAATGTCATATTAAGTATATTACTGTAAAAAATTGGATAGCATTTTATAATAATTATGCCTTTGGTTTATGCCTTGGCCTTTGAAATTGAAAATGAACATTCAGAATGTTGTTATGTACTCTCTGTACAGAGTATACATTTGATATATGTATCTTGGACTGCTCTTCATTTCTGTTATTAATCTACCTCTGTTGTTGGTATCATGTTTTAGGCAAATAGTGGCCCAAACTCAAATGGATGTCAGGTATACTTAAAAAAAAGTTCTTTATAAAATGCTCAACTGTCTGTGGGCAGAATGTGATCATGTCCTGAAGATATTCCACAGTTTTTTCCACATCTTAGCAGGGATTTCATTAAGGGCCAGACACTGGGCAGATTAACTGGCTGAGAGGAAGGTTTGACCATCTAGAGGAAAGTTTTTCTCATAATTAAAGAAGTTCAACTGGCTCAAACATTTTTGCCTGCCTGTGAAAACCGTTGTCCTCATGCTGAAAATGTCTATGAAACCCCTCTCTTAGGCACACATTCTATGGTATGGTACATAGTTTACATGATTGTAAATTATACAGGACAGGGTATTTGTAAATGTCATGAAATATTTGCTTAGTAAATTCTGCAGACTGGCAGAACTCAGATACCCAATAAGCCATATTTCTCCGGTTTTCCTCCCTCCACAAAAATCAACATTTCTAAATTCCAATTCAATCGGGAATTCGAGGGCCATGGGTTTGTCAGTCATAAGACTGTTGTGTGTTACCCTCATTAAACAAAGTTAATTAATTAATTAATTATTTATTTATATTCCCTGTATTGGACTGGAACTAGCTAGTAGCTTGCAAGTGAAGCTAATGCAGGGAGTTAATGCAAATTTGTCTGTCTGTAATGATATTCCCCTGCACTGAGAATACTAAAAAAGGATATGGTCTATGAACTGAACAGTACACACATGTACATACAAATGATACAAATGTACAAGCCAAGGTGCTGTGATAGCAGGATGCTCCCTGTGAATTGATAAATTAATCAGTAATCATGACAAAGTCAATTTTAACCGTGCTACCACTCGTGCAAAGATCTGGCACTAAGTTCATGATTTGTACATGTGTTTGATTCTCTTAAGTTAGTTCTTTTGTATCATTCAAATATACAAGTTGTGTGTTTGCACTGTAGTAACACGCTCACCAGTATTATTCGTTGATTCAGTCATCTGCTAGTCAATTACAGCAGGAGTTTAATTTACGTGCATGCATATAATTTTTTTGTTTAATTTTCCATTACACATTTGGTTCCCGTAGAATTCCTTGTAACGAGTGCTCATGTAACCAGATGATCATTTGTTTCATATTGTATTTCAAAATTGCAGTTTTTCATAACTTGTGCAAAGTGTGATTTTCTAGATGGAAAGCATGTTGTGTTTGGTAAGTCTTTCAGAGGTTTTTTGAAAAGCAATATGAACTTGATATCTGTACAAGATTGTATGTCATTTCTTCTTTTCTGTACATGTAAATTATGATTTTCCTTACCTTGTACAGTGAAACCTCACTTTATGGACCAGTAATTTGGATGTCTTTATAACTTATATTACATACAGTTTGCTGTGTCCCACAACCCAGAACTCTCATTAATGTATTCTTACCTCAGTCTATAGAACTGACACCTAGACACCTCTATATGTTAGAAAGACTTAGTTTACCTTGCAGTGGAGAAACTGGAATTCATGTAATCTTTTTACCTCTGTAGTATGGACTCCTCCATAATATGGACACTTGGGCTTGATTCCCAGCCGCTTTTNTGCAGTGGAGAAACTGGAATTCATGTAATCTTTTTACCTCTGTAGTATGGACTCCTCCATAATATGGACACTTGGGCTTGATTCCCAGCCGCTTTTTCGGGAAAATTTGAGCCCTCGGGGAGGAATGCGGCCGGACCCGAGAGAGCGGCGGAAATCAAGCCTAATGGACACTAAGCTCTTGCCCTCTGGTGTCTGAAGTAATTATTTCACGATAATGTAACTTTGACCACGGTGATGAGAGGATACACGTATATAGATGTTGGCTTTCAATACGTAACACACTAGTATCGTTACAGCTATTATCTGGTAGCTTACTAAGCAGTATGAAATTTGCAGCCCCTTACCCCCTTTTCACTTCTCGTGCAATGTGCATGATTTTACTGACAAGTGTCATTTTTTTACCATTACTTTTTTTTAACGTTAAGTTAATCTTCAATCCTTTTGTGATCATTGCAGGTAAAGTTGTCGATGGTCTTCTAGTCATGAGAAAAATCGAGGTACAGGTGCCTTAGTTAATTAATAGTTAAAAATTAACTGTACAACTGCCATTTTTTTTTTATTGTTTTGTAATTTGACTGGATGTTGATGTGGATGTTGTTGTTGCTGTTGTTTCTTGCAAACTCCTACAGAATATTGTTCTTCCTTTCTTTTGCTTTGTAGAATGTTCCTGTGGGACCGAACAACAGGCCAACGTTACCAGTGGATATATCACAATGTGGAGAGATGTAGAACTACGTGTAGCTGTATTCTTAACGTGCATGTTATCACGGTCATGACGTGACGTACCAACAGATCAAAGCAACAAAAAAATGAGAGACACTGGAAAAGATGTGTTGTGCAGCTAACATTGTTTTTGATGTACCACCTTAGGGCAATTCCTTGTCTTTCAAATGGAATGAACAGTCCACTCTCGTTTTTGTGTTAACTTGGCAACTTAGTGCGCTTTGTTACAAACCTAGGATAAATTGTATACGACGTGTCAAGCATGTGTACATGGATTGTATCTCTGGAATGGAAGACAGCTTATCGAAGACTTTAAAATTCGTTTCTGTTTGTGGTAAACATCGCACTGGTATTGCTGCTGGCACAAGTAATTTTGATATAATCTTTGTAAAAATGCAGGCTTAATGTTTCAAATGTTTTGCGGCGCGTAGGTTCGAGTCATCGTGTCACCGAGAGGGAGTAGACCTCACACCATGCAATATAAATTATAGGCCGAAAACAAAGCTTGCCATAATGAACTCAAAGACTAGCGAAAAGTTAAGAAGTCCTTTCTGCTATTATAGCTCTTCCTACGTATTCTTTGATTAAAAACAGCTTGTCTAATGCTCTGTAACACGTGTTGTGTGGAAAAGTATAGTACATTTCTCCCCCAGCAATTTTCGGAGGTTCGGACTTGACACCCCTGTACCCGAAAGGGGGCCTCCCTCATGAAAAGGACGGGGGTGCTCGTCAGAAATTTTGAAAAGAACCCTTTAGAGGTACGAAGATCTTTCTTGCTTTTTGGGGGCGTGTCTTGAAATCTTTTCGCCTCCAAGAGGTACCAGTTTTAAAATAACACATTTTCTCTTGTCATTTTTTTTCGGCCCAATGCCCTAAAAGGACGTACCTGAAAAGCACCCTTTGTGGACCGTGCGTTTAGAGACTGACCACCCTAAAAGGTTGCCAAACCCGCTTTTTTAGCGCCTGAAAGGTACGACGGGCCTTTTTTATATGGGAGTTACCCCCGGGCTTCCGCAGTGTTCTGTAATGCAATGTTTTTGCCTTTTTTCGTTTGTTTTTCATTCTTGACGACGGCTGGTTGGC